GGGGCGGGTGGGGGGGCAGGGCTTCTGACTGAAGCCACGACTCCCCCATCACCGTAAACGATGATTGGCATACTCTGGGCCACACCTGGCTGGACTAGAACCCACTGGGCCGTACTAAAACCAATCTGGCCGCAGTTGAACGTTCTCTCCCCTCAAGGGGGGGTGGGGGGGCGATTCCTCGACTCCTCGCTCGCTCGGCAACCCAGGTCGAGCAAGCTCAGCCGAAGCAGTGAAAAGAAGAAGTTGAATGAGAGGGGCCGCGGCTCCCGTTCCGAGGACCGCTTGGCCCTCCGAGGCCGTTCGGCCACCGATCTCTGACTTCCAGCGCGACGAACACATCAAGACGGCTGATTCCTCCCAGATCCTCGGCCTACAGGGGGGCCTACTTCGGGCCCCGGGGGGCGTCGGCCAAGCGATCCTGGCGAGAGACCAGCCGCGAGGAAGGCGTCGAGAGCGCAAGGAGAAGATGGGAGAGGAAGGGTCCGGAGGTCGGGGAGGGAGAGGGCGAGGCTCGCCGGCCGGCACTGGGCAGTGGGCCTTCGCAAGGGCGTAGGCGACGTTCGTGATGTCCAGCGAAGGGAACTTGCCCAACTTCTCGCGAACCTCCACGGCCAGCCGGTCCATGAAGACCCCCCCGCCCCACCCGCTTAGGGGGCTACCTCCGTGTGAAAGCGTTTTCCGACCTCCCGTGTTGTTGGATCCTCGTGTTGCGCCCGCGGCCCGTGAAAACCCACCGCAGCCACCCGCTCGGGGGGACTACCGCCCTGTGAGAGTGCCTCCCGACCTCTTGTGTTGTCGGGTCCTCGTGTTGGGACCGCAGCGCCGCGCGTCTCCCCTCCTCTCCTCCCCATCCCGCCTCCCCAGCCCTCCTCCTCCTCCTCCTCCTCCTCCGCCTCCTCCTCCTCATCATAATCATCATCATAATCTCCCTGCCTCTGCTCTCCGAGTGCCCATTTCGGCACACCCCTCATACGCTCAGTGCCCCCATAAGCAGCTCCACCTAGGGCCCCGCTAGGTGCGCCCGCATGCCTCACCCCGCTCCTTTTCGCCGCACCCTTCACAGGTGCCGTGCCCAACCTAGAGCTCCACCTACGGAGTGAGAGCGTCCGCGAGCGGGCCTCCACGCGGATGGTGTTCCATGGTGTAAGCACATGCGATAAGAACCCTTGCTATAAGAAGCCTAGGGTACATCCTTCGTCGATCCTGCGCTTCGTAAGGTGTCCCGAGATTCTGCGGTCACATGGGGAGATAACAAATGCTCGTGGCTCACCCGTTGGCAGGTCAGTCTCTTATCGGGCGTGCCTACTGGCAGGGGAGCTCCACCTGCGGCCTCAATTGGGCTGCGGGCGGGCCAAAAGACCCTTCCGAGGGCCACCTTGCCATAGGACTGCGGAAGGCAGCGGTCGCAAAACACAGGGCACGGGGGCACCCTGCATCGGGCAGGGTCGACCTACCAATCCACCTCGACTGTACGGGGCTCCGCCTGCGGCCCCAGTCGTTGTCCTCGCACGGCGGGCCTCGGCCCGTTTCGCCACGCCCGCGGGCCGCCACGGGGAGCTCGAGGGCGCCTCTGCGCCGCTGCTCCGCGGCCGCTGCCCGCACCGCCCCGAGATCCCTCCCTGCGACCGCGCGCAGCACACGAGGCGCTCCAGGGAGGGCCTCGCCTGCGAAGGCCGGCGGAGTGGGCACTCTCGGGCGGCGGGAAGGGCGGCGGCGAAGGCTGGCGGAAAAGTAAAGCGGGGCCGCCTCCGCCGGCGGAGGCCGGCGGAAGGCCGGCGGAGGGCGGCGGAAGCAAGAAGCTCCCCCTCCAAGAGCTGGCATCCTTTCTGGGTTCAAGTTCCCAGGACCCGGATTGCAAAAAAACCGTTTTGTTTTGCAATCCGGTTTTGTTTTGCAATCCGGTTTTTTTTGCAATGCAATCCTTCGTTGTTTTGCAATCCTTTTTTTTGTTTTGCAATCCTTCGGTTGTTTGCAATCCTTCGGTTTTTTTGCAGAGGAGAGGGTCACGCGGACCCCCCTGAGCTGATCTTGGTCCAGCCGCACCCTCGGAGGCTTCCCAAGCTGCTCGGCAAGCCTGAAGATTCTCAGCATGGCTCCGCATGGTACCCATGTCGCCCAAGATTGCCAAAGATGGTTTCCGTCTGGCCCTGGGGAGCCCGACGAGCCTCCAAGATCGCTTCACCGAAGGTCCCCTGCAGGCAAACATAACAATTTAAGACACATTTGTCTGAAGCTTGGGCTGTTCCCACTTGTTGGCTGGGAAGGCTCATGTTGGCTCAAATCGAGGAAGCACGCAGCATTTCCGCAAAGGGGCACAAAAGAGCCCAAGAGAACTCCACCAAGAAGAACATAAAGATAATTCCACCAAAAGACGACAACAAACTCCACCAAAAGACCCCAAAACCCGCAAAGACCCCCACAAGAACACCAAGCTTAAGCAGCCGCCAAAACGGACAAGTGGCCCCCAGAGGGCCCAGACGGACCCAAGAGAGCCCCAAGAGGCCCCAAAATGCTCCTGGGGCGCCCCTGGTCGCCTCGAAGATGCCCCCAGAGAGCTCCAAGAGGCAGCCAGGGCGCCCGAAGGCGTCCCAAGGATGCCCCAGGAGTCATCGCAAGACGCAGTACCCTCCCTCAATGTTTTTATGCTCCTCTTGGGCATTACGTCGCTCTTCGTCGTCCCGTGCGCTGAGCGTTGCTAGGACAACCCGCGCAGCCAAACCAATATTTGTCCATAGGCCTGTCGGGGGTCGTCGGCTGAGCCTCTTGAGCACCTGTCCTGCTACCTCCGGACGGCTGTCGATTGCCGCTTGGGGGGAGAAAGAAACGGAAATGAACGGAGCGGAATGCCTGTGCGAGCGTGCGCCCAGGCACCTTAATGGCGAGGCGGGTAAGGCCATGGCCTCGCATGAGAAACTGCGCGCGCCGGGCGCCTACTCAGGGAGACGCGTACTTCACCAAATTGTTTTCCAAATGTTCCCGTTCCTTTGTTGTAGCCGGTTGTGGCCATGTGGTGTCATTGAAGTGGTACTGCAGTCTCGGTGTCTGGCGTTGGTGGCGGTGGAAAACGGGAGAGTCGAATGCTAGATGTTGGAGGTCGGAATGCTGAGCTCGTGGGCGTTGGAGGTACGAACGAACGAAATGCCATACGCCGGAGCGCGTGGGCAAAAGAGGACCATGCCAGCCAAGGCTCACCGCTTTGCGGGGGCGGCTGCACGCGGGCTGCTTCTTAATTCACACCGCGCGCTGCTTGAGGACAAGGGGGGGAGAGGGGGAGGAGGAGGAGGAGGAGGAGGAGGGAGACACGCAACATCAATCACAAATCTGCGCCAGGCTGCTGGCTCACATACGCGCTGCATTATTGCCTCGTCCGAAGAAGCATGCGGTGCGACAACTTTGTACAAGCACTGCGCCCATGCATTTGTTGGCCGGCCTCGTGCTCGGGCACATGCGTCTGTAGCTGGCCGCGCGCTTCCGGGTTGGAAGGTGAGGCGGCGCAGAAAATCAAAGTTTGTCGCCCTACATATTTTGCCAAACCACAACAGCTGATGCCTCAGAAGTTGCACTGTGTAGCGCTGTTGGCCTGCTTGCAAGAGCACTTGTTCGTTAGATACTCTTGAAATGTATGCGTGAGGAAAGTGCAGGATTCGACGTAGGCACCTCGCTTGGAAACCGTCCAACCTTCTGCGTTCAGCTTTGTTGAGCCATGCCGAACTCAGCGAAAACATGACCTTACTAGTCACCAGCGCTTGAAATACTTGAAGCTTTCTGGTAATACTGATTGCCGCATGCTTCCAGGCGCGGCTGCGTCTGCAGAACTCACCCCATGCGGCTCCGAACCTCTTCCCCAACTCCCCGCGCAGCTGGCCAGAGTTTGAAAGCGTGGCCCCGAGGTAGGCCATTGTGTCTTTTGCTGGGATTTGCTCGCCAGAGGGCGTCAAGAGCGACATGTCGCAACGAACCGGCGTGAGTTGAACTTTATCCCGATGTAGTTCCATGCCAACTCGTGCACCTGCTTTAGAAAACGCGCCCAACAGACTTTGTAGATGGTGTGGATTGCGACCCACGAGCAAGGTGTCATCCGCGTACAACAATATACTCAAGGACCCGTCTGCTAAAGCTCGTCGTGCTTCCGCGTCTCCGTGGTGTGTGGCGCTCCGCAGTACCATCGTCATTACCATAATGAATAAAAACGGCGAAAGTGGGCAACCTTGTGATATCCCAGATAACTGCTGTCGTTCTGATGACCGGTGTCGTCCATCCGCCACGCTGAATTTTCTGCCCTCGTAGATGTGGCCAATAATTGTAAGGACGCGCCAAGGGACTCCAAATTTGTGCAAAGCTTCCAGCAGCGCCTCGACGTTCAACGAGTCGAAAGCTTTCTTCCAATCCAAAGCGACAATTGCAATACCTCCTTGTTTGCCTGCGTAAGCCAAATCAATATACCGGCGAACAGCGCGTATCGCATCCGATGTCCCGCGCTCTCGTCGGAAACCAAACTACGCTGGCGATAATTTGTCCTCTGCCCCTGCGTTTCGTAGACGCCGAAGAGTAAGACCAGCTATGAGCTTGTGCGCGACGCAGAGTAGGCTGATCGGGTGGTAGTTTTCGCAGTTGTCGACGGCCCCTGTGTTTTTTTAACATATCGTTGAGATAATCGATTTCTTCCAATCGTCTGGGACGGCCTCCTCGTTCCAACATTTGTTGCACAGGTCTGTAATCCACTCCAGTCCGCCTGGGTCTGTAGCAATAGCCGTCCAGTACTCTGCTGGGATATCGTCAACACCAGATGCTTTGCCACGTTTGAGCTGTTTGATTGCTTTGCCAACCTCCTCTGTCGTAAAGTCTGCTTCCGAAAACCGGCAATGGATCTCCAGGTGAGATGTCTAGAAGCTCTGCTGTCCGTACTTTCCACTGCATTTTCTCCAGGTATTCAGCCATTGTCTCTGCTCTTTGTGTGTTTTCCACTAACTCCCCACTCATATTTCTTAGCCTCCCTTGGCGTCGTGGCTTAGGCCGGCAATGCTTTTTCAGAGCGTCCCAGCTACCAGTCGAAATTCGCTCATCAACCCAAACTGTTTTATCTTGCTTGCACGCGTTGCGCACCGCTTTCATCAATCTTCTCTCCTCGGTTATGTCGTTGGCCACTCGGGCCTCGGTACGGCGGCGGATTAGATCAAGAGTGCGTTGTGTAATCCATGGCTTGATGCTCTCCTCCTGGCGCGTCGGGAAGGCGCTGGCAGCAGCTTGCGTTGCTGTTTTTCCTCTTTCCCACATGTCTTGAATATCAGCCGGCGGCCCAGGAAACGATGAAATTGTTCCCATAAGCTTGCCCAGATATGCCTGCAGTGCTCGTGGGTCTTGCATGCCATTTCTGTTCGGCCGTCCCGTTTCCCGCGGTCTGTATGGAAGACTGTATAGCCATGTCTGCCACAACCAACTAATGGTCTGTAGCCAGGGCCGCTTCCCAATGACTTCGTAGCGCAACGACTTCATGCCGCAAATGTGCGTCACATAATAAAAAGTCCAAAATGTTGTAGCTGTCTTCTGCTATGTCCCCCATTGGCAGGGCACCCGCTTCCATGAACGTGATTTTTTTCTTCCAATGGTTGCGAAATAAATGTATTTACAATTTGTAGGTCACCACTCGTGCAGAACTCCATCATCAGATCCCGGTTCGGCTGCTCAACTTCGTGCTGTGCGCGACGCCCCCATCCAAACTCTCCCAAAACAGCGTCTTCTCCTGGATCAGCTTTCCCCACTCTGGCGTTGAAGTCGCCAATGATGAGCTTGCCAACGGCGGCATTGCACGACCGGTATGTCGAATCCAACGCTGTGTAGAAATCGCGTCTTTCATGGAGCGGCTTGAGGTTGTGAGGCGCGTATCGGGTGATAATGGCCAGCGCCCCCATGCCAGTTCTGATCTTTAGCCAAGCCAGTCTGCCTAATATTTGTTTATATGCTTTGCCTCTTCGTCGGCTTGCTGGTGAAATGATGTATCCAACGCCTGTCCAAGTACGCTCTTTTTGTGTCTTCGCCGGACAGGGTAATCTTGTACCCGTCGACCTCGTAAACTTCTGTTTTTGCGCGGCGGGTTTCCTGTAGAGCTAAAATGAAAGGGCCCCAGGACACACAAATAAATACACACAAATAAAAATATTGCCCGTATTTTCCCATATTTTCTAGGTTTCTGTCTTCCCCCCACTTCCCATATTTTCCCATATTTTCTGGGGAGTCGGGGATTATTTGTGTCTGTCTGTTTCTTTTCCTCCTGATAAAATGCCAATGCCACGCTTGTCCATATGCGATATAATTTCAATAATTTTCGTATCAGTAAGTCCTCGAACGTTCCATGACGCCACTTTAATTGCAGTCGAAAGGCGGAAAAGGAAATGGAGAGTCGGATTCTAGAGGGTGGAGGTCGAAATGCTGAGCTGGTGGGCGCTGGAGGTCGATTGGGGCGGGGGTGAGACAGAAGGGTCGGATGATAGAGGTTGGAAGTTGGAACGCTGAGCTGGTCGACGCTGGAGGTCGACAGGTGGAGGTGGAAGCGCAGAGTCGGATGCTAGAGGTTGGAGGTCGGAATGCTCATGGGCGCTGAAAGTCGATTGGTGGCGATGGAAATAAAAGGGTCGGATGCTAGAGGTTGGAGGTCGGAATGCTGAGCTGCTCGACGCTGGAGGTCGATGGGTGAAGGCGGGAACGGAGGGTTGAGTCGGATGATAGAGGATGGAGGTCGGAATGCTGAGCTGGTGAACGTTGGAGGTCGATAGGTGGAGGTGGAAACGAAGAGTCAGGTGCTAGAGGGTGGGGGTCGGAATGCTGAGCTGGTGATCGCTGGAGGTCGATAGGCGGAGGTCGACGTGGAGAGTCGGATGCTAGTGGTTGGAGGTCGGAAAGCTGAACTGGTCGGCGCCGGAGGTCGATAGGTGGATGTGGAGGTGAAGAGTCGGATGCTACGGCTTCGCGGAAGTATCCTGAGTGGAACGCATGACAAATTGCGTCTCCAATGTCGTCCAAATTTGGTCGTCGGTCGCCAGTTTGAGGCCATCGATCTTTGCACCGTAGACACTCCAGGCGGGTCGCTTTTGCACGCCATGGGATACAAGAACATCACGTACGTCATCGTCCCATCGCTTGTGCATGAGGCTTCCTGCTTGCCTTGTCGTGCGCTTGGTGCATTCGACCCATGATTCCAAGACGCTGCTCTCCAGTGCGACGCTCTTCTCGTTTTCGGTGTTGGGGATGTCTGCCGTGCTGGTATTTGCGATTGGGTGGGTAGCTGGCGGTCGGTTGCGTTTGGCATTTCCGTGCGCATCGTCTTGGTGGGAATGCGGTTCAGTCGTCGCACGTGTCGTGTGTTGGTTGGTCGCACTTGGTGTCGGTCTCGTGTTAGCGGTGTTGCGTCGTCGCGGGGAGCCGACAATCATTTGTAACATGCGTCGTTGGGAGCATCGTAACTGTTGTCGCAAAGGCTCGGTCAGAGTCCAAATGGCCAGCCCGTATAATACCGTCGGTGTGATAGTGGCTTCGAAGAGCCAGAGTGTGTGCTTCAAGGGGGAGTGGTTCGCTGTGAGTTGTCTATGAGCAGCGAAGGCTGCCCAGCCTGCTTTCATTCGGTGCTGCACCTCGGTGTGCATGGCGTCGTGGAAGCTGATCTGCTGCCCCAAGTACTTGACTGACCCACTGTGGCGTAAAATCCCGATCTCCATGCTGTTGATGTTCACCATGTGCTGCCGTGCTCCCCCATTCCTCTCAGTCAAATTCGTCAGAATATTCGTCTTGTCTGGGTGGATGTGGGGACCGTGTTGTTGTGCAGCTGTGGCCATTTGTTCAAACATTGTCGTCACACGCGGTAGGGTGCGGCTCGTCAGGAGGACGTCGACAGCACAGCGCATGTTGGTGAGAGAGCAGTCTTTAGTGAAGCCGAGTTGAATGTCTTGGTTGTGCTTTTTCCATGTGGTGACAAGTAGGCGCATGATGTGTTCAAGAAAGGAATTGGAAAGCAATGAGCTAAAGGGATCGCCCTGCTGCGTGCCCACTTGTAGGTTGAATGAGCGGCTGGCCGTGTCTGTCTGCACCCTGGCTGCTTGGTCAGAACGCATGTTCCGGAATAGGTGTATGTAGCCTGGTGAGACGCTATGGCTCTTGAGTGCGGTCCGGAAGCTCTCCGTGTCGAAAGAGTACGGAACGGAACGACGTGACCGTCAGGAGAGAGTGCGAGAACGAGGAGGTGAGGATACGGCCATCGCACCGCCATAAGGAACACCACATCAGGAACGAAGGGCTCTCTCTGGCCACGGCGAGACTCGGCCACCAGCAGCCCCCCCGACGTAGACCTTTTTTTTTTACAGCCGCAGGCGGAAGCGCCAGCGGCGGAAGGTCGCGAACGGGCCGCGGACGCGCCTAAATTACCTAACGCGCGCAGGGCCGCGGATCAAGACCGACGCAGACCTGCGGAGCGTCCCGAAAGCCAGAGCCCTCCCTGAGTCCAAAAGTGCTTCCTTGCTTCGGCGTCTTTGCCGTAAGCCAGGGGCGCGCGAGTCGGTAGCCTCACGCGCCAGAAGTCTGTGTCGGGGCGGGCGGCGTCAGCCCCAGCTCTGTCGTGCGACATCCCGAGCCGCGTGATCGACCAGGCGATGTTGCTCAGGGCCTCGGGGGGGGGGGGGGGGGGGGGGGGGCGTATCGCGGGGACGAGGGACTTTCGGGTCAGTGATTCGGGAAAACAGCGGAGGGATCAGAGGCCGCGTGCTCGTCGCTACACTGAGAAAGCTGAGCTCGATCATCTCATACATCAAGCGCGAGGACAGAGGCATGATTGTTGAAACGCCCCTCGTTTAGTATAGTTCTGGCGACGCAGACGGCGTGAACCGCATCACTGCACAGCAATCCGTCCCATTGGAGGGCGCACAGCTTCGGGCAGCAAATACAAAATAATGAAAAGGAACACGGATGGACTACACTGCTCAGAATACGGTGGCCCCAGGAGGCCTTCTGTCCAGGCTTGAGGAAGACAGATCGGGACATCCCAGGAAGCCGCCTGGACCGTCACCGAGGCCGCCGGAAAAGGCTCGCGGCAAGACATACTCGGCGTGGGGGGGGGGGCGCCGCGAGGCCTTGGCTCTCCCCGGGGTCCAAAGGGTGGCGCCAGGAAGCGATCATCCCCCGCGCCCCTTGGAATCTCCATGCCGCTCATGGGCGTGGCGCGCGCCCCGCGGCCGGCGGCGACGGCCTGCGGGTCGAAGTCCCCCATGCGGCCGGACACGGAGGTGGCCACCTCGGAGAGGAGGCGGAAGCAGTCCAGGCCGACCCTGTTCTCGCTCTTCACCTGCGCAGGGGGCCACGGGGAGCCTTCGCCGCCCCTCCCCCCCCCCCCCGCCCGCCCGCCCTCGCGCGAGGGGGGCCAGGAGGGAGGCGGGAGGCCAGGCGGGGCCCCGCCCCGCCCCGGCCCACCATGAGGTTCCCGAGCGCCCACGCGATGTTCGACCTCGGAGGCGCCGGCAGGAGCACGGGGAGCACGCAGAGGGCGAGGGCAAGCGGGCGGGCAGGCGGGCGAAGCGGCGGGAGCGCGGGCGGGCCGGGTGGCGGTCGAGCAGGCGGGCGGAGAAAAAGGCGCACTGGCGGAGGGACCGGAGAAGCCGACCGAAGACTGGGGGGCTGGTCGCGAGAGAGACAGCGGAAAGAGAGAGAGAGAGAGGGGTCGAGGCAGCACGTGGCGAAGGCACAACCAGCATCAGGGCGGCGTTGAGGGTGAGCGCGGCAGCAGAAGACCCCGACATCGTAGGCCTCCGCCGCCTTCTCCTTGTCCGCCTCCTCCTGCCGCTTTTGCTGCTCCTCGTCCCTCCCCGTCCGCATCCAGCCGAACTCCGCCCTTCTGGGCGTCCGACACGTGCTGTGCGCGAAGGCCTGGCAGCCGCCCAAAGACTTCTCGGACCATTGCCGAAATCCAGGGGTCGAAGCGGAACTCAAGCTTGCCGAACGCCCACATGGTGTTGGAGATATCCTCTGGACTCGGGAAGCAAATGTCTCCACCGCCAGCGGGGACTAGAACGCCCGTCGGGCCTCTGGGCGCAAATGGCTTAGCGAGCTCCCTCTTTCCCATCACCCTTCTTCCTCTTCGGGGAAAGCTGATCACTGCCCCCAATTCAAAAACATCCCGTACCCCAATTGACCGGCCGCCGACCAATAACCATGTGCCCCCCCACCATCCGTGTCACAGAGCAATACGTAGCACCCCACAATTGCGGATAAGAGTGAGGGGGCGGGCGCGGGCGACGCGGGCGTCGTCGAGCCGGCGGACCTCGTGGCCCCCACCTTCCCTGTCGATGGCGCTCTCCTCCTCCTCCTCCTCCTCCTCCTCGTCCTCGTCCTCGTCCTCATCGTCATCGTCATCCTCCTCCTCCACCTCGTCCTCATCCTCCTCTTCTTCCTCGTCCTCCCTCTCTCCCCCTCGTCCTTTCATCATCGTCCTCCCATTGTCGTCCTCCCCCTCACCAGCCTCCATCATCGTCCTCCCATTGTCGCTCATCATCATCATCCTCCCCCTCCTCCCCCTCCTCGTCCTCCTCCTCCCCCTTCTCCCCCTCCTACCCCTCCTCGTCCTCCTGCTCCTCCTCCTTTTCTTTCTCCACATTATCCTTACATCCTCTCTTCTTCCGCGTTCTCCTCGTCCCCTGTTTACTCCTCCTGCCTCCCCCTCCTTTCCCAAGATAACTGCAACGCAATCCTTTTTTCCACTTTATGCTCCCCGCCTTCTCTGATCAAGGCAACTCGCCAGGGCAGAGTTGCTGGACGGGCTGGTGTGGATGCGCGGGGCTTGAAGAGGTCCTTGCGGGCTCAGACGGCATGCAAAAATCCGCCGCCGCGCTTGTGCGGCATTGGTTTGTTCAGTGAACGTGGTTTAGGTCGCGGGTGGGTCGCGGGCTCTCCACCTCCACCTGGAAGGAATGCAAAAGCAGCCCGCCGCAGGCGCCAAAAATTGGTTTGTACACTGAACGTGGTTTGGGTCGCGGGTGGGCCGCGGGTTCTCCACCGGGAACGAATGCAAAAAATGCCCGCCGCAGGCGCCGAAAAATGTGGTTTGTACCCTGAACGTGGTCGCGGATGGGTCGCGGGCTCTCCACCTGGAAGGAATGCAAAAAAAAGCCCGCCGCAGGCGCCGATAATGGTGGTTTGTACTTTGAACGTGGTTTGGGTCGCGGGTTGGTCGCGGGTGGGTCGCGGGCGGGGGTCGCGGGTGGGTCGCGGGGTGGGTCGCGGGGTGGCCGCGGCGGGTCGCGGGGTGGGTCGCGCGCGGGTTGGGTCGCGCGGGTGGGTCGCGGGTGGGCGGGTGGGTCGCGGGTGGGTCGCGGGGTGGGTCGCGGGGTGGGTCGCGGGTGGGTCGCGGGGCGGGTTGCGGGTGGGACGACGACAACAAACAACAACAACAACAAACAAACAAACAAACAAACAAACACACAAACAACAACAAACAACAACAAACAACAACAAACAACAACAACAACAACAAACAACAACAAACAACAACAAACAACAACAAACAACAACAACAACAACAACAACAACAACAACAACAACAACAACAACAACAACAACGAGAATACGCACCGCGGAATTCCACTTCAGCCACGCACCCAGGGACAGTGAATGACCGTTCGGCCCCCTCACTCTGATAATAGCATGTGGCGGCAAAGTCTGGATGGTGAACGGGCGCCCCGCGAGCACTTCGCATTTGCTTGTTGGTGAAGATGGCGGGGGATCATATTTACCCCTTGCCCTTTCGCCCACTGTCTTTACAAAAAACACTTGTATACTTGCTGCGGGTGCACACAGACATGTGACATGCTGGCCACCCCGCCGCCACTTTGCTGCGCTTTCTGGAAATGCTGGTGCGCGTGTGGGGTGGGGGACAGATTGCCCAAGGTATGCTGTCACGTGCACTGGCGCACTTGGCGCGCGACGCGCACCAGGCGCACCTGGCGCGGCTGGCACACCTGGCGCATATGGAGCATGTGGCAAACGCGCCATGCGTGCCTGGCACGCTTGGGCCCCCAGGGCACCTGACCTGGCACGCGTGGCGCACCTCGCGAGCGTCGGGCACCTGGCGACTGCATTGGTTCCCAGTGGCTGTCCATCCAATGGCGACTTCTGCCAATGCTGAGTCTCGGGTGGAATGCTAGCCTGGGAGGTTACAAGGAGGTTTGGGGGGGATAGAACCAACTGATGGCAATATTGGTGGTTGTGATGAGGGCGATACCGGTGACGCGCCCTCGGGTTAGTGACGAAGCGTGGTGATGATGCTGGTCGCGATGAGTGCTGCTGTGTGTCATCCCACCCAGCGCGCTCCAGACATGAGGGGCGGCGCGATCGATCCCATACGGCGCGCTCCAGACAGTTCTCACTATCGGTCTCACAGCCGATCTCCGAATCGATCTCACAATCGATCTCATTATCGATCTCACTGTCGATCCCACCACAGGTGTCGCAAGCGATCTCACCATCGATCTCACAACAGAGCCCACTATCGATCTCACAACGGATCTCACTATCGATCTCACAAACGATCTCACTGTCGATCTCGCCGCCCTGCTCCAGGACACTTACTCGCGCCGCCCTGCTCCGGGACACGGAACACCGGCGAAACACCGACGGGACACCGATAGACACCGACGTGCCACCGACGGAACACCCACGTGACACCGACGGGACACCGACGCGCCACCGACGGGACACTCCCAGCCACCACGCGCCGGGGGGGGGAGTGGCTGAGAACTGGCTCCACAGCCCCCAGACGCGGCGGGATCATCCTTTTCGCGCGCCCACGCAGCTTCGCCTCGCCCGCACGCACGACACGAACACGAAACCGAAACCGATTTCCCGGGTGGAGGCTCTCCGTTCCACTGCGATCTCACTCCCTAGCCTTCCATTTTATGGTGCGAGGGCGAATGGGAGTGAGCGAGACAGGTTATGGCGTCCTTGATTCCGCCCACCTCCCCCCTGCCCCCCCTGGGTCTGGACTTCCCACGATGCGTTTGAGCGTCCAAGATGGCCCCATGATGGCCCCAGATAGCCCCCGCGACGGCCTCCAAGATAGCACAATCTGGTTTGCGTCTGGCATGCCTCGAAGTGGCATCAGAGTAACCCAAGGACAACCCCGAGAGGCCAACATCAGTCAAACACCGCAGGTGTTACAATGATATGAGCCTTCTCACCGTTTTGTTTCCAATGGGCAACTGAGGCCTCAAGGTGGCTCCAAGGTCGCCAATAGGAGCTCCAAGACAGGCCCACACAAGCGCCACGCAACGTCACCACGATCACCCACGAGCGCCCCACGAACATCCTAAGAGGGCTCCGAGAGGCGACGTTCCGGGCTCCGTGCTTGGCGACTCCCTTTGCTCACTGATTAAAACATTGAAAAGCCGTACGACCTGAGATGCTTGAGTGACTCGGGCATGTCGGGGCCATCCTTGGGAGGCTCTTGCGCCAAGATGGCTCCAAGGTGGCCTCAAATGCCCTAAGATAGCCTCCACGATGAAGCAAGATGTTCCAAGTTGGCTCAAGATGCCCTCCAGCATGCCTCCAAGACGCCTCAAGGTAGCTGCAAAGGGCCAAAATGCCTCCCTAAAAACGCCTCCAAGACCTTGAAACAATTACAAACAAGTTGTTCAATGATGTTTTCCTTCTCGCCGTTTCGCTTCCGATGGGCATTCGAGGTCTCAAGATGACTCCAATATCACCCACGGGAGCGCCAAAAGGGACGCGTACAGGTTCCAAAAAGGCCCCAAGAGCGACAAACAGCACCCCAAGAGGGCTATTTGTCCGGCTCCGACGGGGCGACGCATGTCTGCGCCGCCGAATGTGTTGATCGAGGAGAGGGGGCCAAGAGGGCCTCGAAACTCCTGGCTGTGCTCCGGCTGATCACGAGCTTCGGCTTGACCGCCGTCCCCGCCCCCCCCCCTCCCCCCTTTCTGCTCCACTTCATACTCCTACACGCCCCCCGCCTGCGAAAGCACGGGGAACGCCGCACGGCCGCGCCACCCGAGCAACGCTCTCTGCCCGACCCCACACGAGGGTCCTTGCAGCACACCTGAGGGTCAGCCCCGCGCGGCTCGCGGAGTCTCTCCCCGGCGCAGCTGCTCGGTCGGCCCCGCGGGGCGACTGCGCTCGCTCCCTGTGTGGGCCACTGGCGGGCCACAGGCCACCTCCACCCCCACCGCCGACCACGAGCTCCGTCCCGCGTGGGCCGAGTGCGGCGAGTGGAGAAGCCGCCTCAGCCTCGAGGGCGGGGAAGGAGGAAGAGGAGAGGGAGATGGAAGCCCGGACCCCCGACGTCGTGATTGTTCCGCACTCCCCCCCCTACGACGATCAGACCCCGAGGATGAAAACAGCCAGCTTTCCCTCTGATGGGAAGGATACCCCACCATGCCACAGCACGCCGAACAGACAAAACACAATGTGTGAAACCAGCAGCAGATCAGGTGAGCGTGGTTGCCAAAAACGGTGAGGGAGAGGGGAGGGCAACAATTCTTTCGCAATGGAGTCCCCGAGTCTCGGCCCTGTTGGTCCTGGGCCCAGTAAGGGGCCAGAGGGGCCGAACAAAAACATGATGGTCAAGAGCTCTGGGATAACGGATAGCTTGTCGCACTGCTCCACGGGGCTGGATGTAAAGGCTCGGGACATTGACGCTGGGGGGGTGGGCGGGAAGTGGATAACATGTCGCGCAGAAGCGTGGTGGGCTAAAATCGGCGGAGCGACATGCTGTCCAGAAATTCCCGACCGTATGGCGCAACTTGTTCACTCGAGTTGGCTGGGGGGGCAGGACAGCAAAACGGGAGAAGAAGGGTCGGCTACACAGAAGTGTGACCCTAGGCAAAAAATTACCTTCGGTGCGCGGCTTTCGGGGAGCCGCGGGAGGACCGAACCCAAACGCGCAAGATCACATTCGTCGATCGGCTGACCCCAACGGGTCCGCACCGAAGGTCGCTCGGGCGAAAGGTCACTCTT